AAACAATGATGATAAAGTAAAGATACTTTGAGGAAATCAATGAAGAAATAACTGTTGGTTTTTAGCCCCATTCCACTGGTTATAACCAAGTTAATCTGTGTTAGTTGATCTTAAGCTTGCATGAGGAAGCTTGAAGGTAATAAATACAACAGGTCTTACTTGTTTACACCTCAGACTGCAGCACTCACCCCACAGAACCCCTTACCTTTAACCCCTCACCCCTCACCCCTCACTCTTTCTGTGTGTTTTATTTTACCTCATCTTGACTTAGCTGTTTCAAATCTCGATTTCAGCTTTTTTGGCCCAGGCCTCTAAGACTTCAGCATCCGGTACGATTATGGCAACTAAGAAGGACTGGAATCGAAGAATGTTTTAATCCAAGCAGCTAAATAGCTGCAATGCTTAAAATGATATCAAAGCAAACCTTAAAACTGTTTCTAATGACAAAAGCCTGCGCGACAAACGGACTGCGTAGATATACTTTGGTTAGCTCAATTGGTTTGAGCGCCGGATTGTGTTCTGCGGGAGGTCGAGGGTTCGAGCCCCGGCCGGACCGATACTCATGGTCTTAAAATAAGTGAGGAGAATTTGCTACCTTTCTATAATCAAAAGATGGATAGATATTCTAGTCTTCTCGGATAAGGACGAATAAACCGTAGGCCCCTTCTCCTGCAGGATTAGGGATAGGAGACGTTAATTTCCCAAGCACGAGATTACTGTGTAGTGGATGTTCTCCCCTGGGGTGGGATGTGAGGAAACTGGCCCCGAAAGCCTCCGGTGGGGAGTGGTCAACTAACGTAGGTATGTTTGTATACATTCTGGATCTTTTCCGGAGCTATATATTCTCCCTGTTTCAGGAAAAAAAAAGTTACCATTATAGGTGAAACTACGAAAAAACATTTCGCGCTCTAATACTTCATTTCTAAGCTACATGGTATTCAACGTGAGCTTCAAATAGTCAATTTAAGGTCAACTTAATAAATTCCTTATTGGACAGCCAAGCTAAAAGATTTCAATCTTTCTTATCCTGTAAAGCTTCACAAGTGTCAGGCGGAAATCCATACAAAATAACAACACAGAGATGGAAACCTCTGGAAATTCTAAATCTTATAACCGATTTAGCGAACTGTAACGGAATATATATAACCAAAATTTGTATAGCAATGATATTCAGAGACAAAATGTAATATTCTTACCCGGGAAAGCTTAAAAATGTTTTTCTTTCTATCAATGATTTTCAAAGTTCCATTCTGCAGAAGAGGGCAGTGCGCCTTAAGCTTTTGATAAAAAATATAGGCATGGCACGCATGTAAGAGTCGGTGTTTTTGGATGGGTGGGTGACTAAAACATAATTAACTAGTGTTTCCTTTTTTGTAAAAGAAAAAGAGCTTTAACTTTTAAAAGACTCCAACGAAAATATCGTTAAATGGAGAAAACAATGTAAAAAAAAAAACCATCCAATTCATCTGAAATAAACTCAATGTTTTGTGGTCTATTGCCACTGGTTTCCATATCTAAGTAGAAGTAAATTGCGTTGGTGGCACACTGTAGACTCATCTCCTTCACAACCGTTGTTTGGTCTTGCCACGCAACGCACTTCCTTCCTCCATTTTGTGACGAGAGCAAACAAGGGTTGTCTCCTGCATCTATTAATTAGTTAATTTGGTTAGGCAGGGGACGTTAAAGAACCCACTCACGAGATTACTGTGGTGTGGTCTGGCCTGTTTACCGGGAATTGGAGGGGAGGGGGCATCTTCAAATAAGTTTCCTTCGATTGTTTGTAAAATGAAGATCCAGTCCGACCAAAGTCCATCGAAAAGTGTTGTGATGCGCATTTGATCATATCCACATGTTAATTTGCGCAATGGAAATATTAAATTATTATTATTATTATTATTATTATTATTATTAAAGGAAATTTCGCAGGCCTATGATCTAGCTTTTATTATAAGCATTTGCTCACGAGAATTTCTTTGCCTGCGCGAGCGTATGAAGCCTTCGGGAACACTATTTTAATTTTAAAGTTGGCTTCTTCAGTTTACCAAGGAATTGTAGTCACGGCGCCTCACCTTCGTTTGCCTTCACGCCTTTTGTACATTGTTTTCCGTCTTCAGTTGCTCGCGTATATTTGTTATTTTATTAGGTTCACCAGTCATTTTTGGTTACTTCATATTTCATTTTTTATGCATTGTTTCTATTGTTTGGTATAGCTTCTTCTGCCGTAGCTTTCTTGTCGCCGTTGTCATTATGTTTTAGTCGTCGTAGTCGCCACATAATCTTGTAAGTTTCGTTATTTTGTCCGTCATTTTTCGTGTTTTATTTGTATTTGGTTTTGCTTTCTGCTCTGTATATTTTGCTCGTTTATGTATATTTTCCTTTGGCGAATCGCCAGTAAAAGTGCGAATCTCCTCGGTTTGTGGATTTCGACTACAGGTGTAAAGCGGTTCAAAGAATCGTGGTAAGTACGATATATAATTGTCCATAAATGAGCTGATGGGCTAATGTGACATATTATCAATTTTACAATACATATTTCAACGCCTTCAAAAGTTTTTTCACATCCCAAGGAGAACAAATCTCTTGCGCATTAAAATCAGTACTTCTGCTTCATTCCTACCAGCGCTTAGACAACAATCAAAACGCCTGTGTATATCTAATGGGATAGACATGCCTAATCTGTGCACAAAAAGCGTCCTGAGAAATTTACAAATGCAAAATGTACACATCGCGTCACGCTCAGGGTCCGTTATTTTCAGAAAAATAAATGTTCAGATTGAGAAAGACGAAAACCATTGTTGGTATTTGCAATTTAGGAATGAGTACGATACGGCCATTCGAAATAGAATTTTTTTAATGAAAATGTTCTTCACATGAGCAGAGAATCTTCTTCCCATAAAATCTCCGTTTGGTCACGTTTAATGTTGTTGCATTGGCCGTCCTGTTTAGCTTAAAGGTTTTTCAGTGTCGGTGGTAACGAAGAGTTTATACAAATCGCACAGTATTGCTACATTTCAAATTAATTAAAGGCGAGTAAATCTATTTTTATTGATAAGTTTATTTTGTGCGCTTAAATATTTATGGGGAAGAAGAAGAGCGTTCAACTTTCAGGTTCCTAAACGCCTTTTTTTGCTCTTTACAAATTAAACTTTATCTTTACCGTTGGTGTCTGTTCTTCCATGTTTCATTCTTCGTTCTTTTTTTTTCACGTATCAAGTTTCAACGTCTTTGTCTTACAATAGCTATTTCCATTTCAGTTTCCCACTTTTGGTTTCGTTAGTCATACGACAAGAATATCAAACAAGACAGGCTTCTTTTTAAAAGGTAAATAAAAAAAAAACAAATTTAGAAATAATATTTTTCCGCTTTATGAAAGTACAATATTTTGGACTGATCATTCAGTGGCAGAGGATTTAAAAAAACTCGAAACAGTCTTAGATTCGGACTGATCCTTCAGTGGCAGACGATTCAAAAAACACTTTTGGCAAAGATTTGTTACAAAAAAACTTGCCTTAGTTTACCATGGTCTTCGACATATAATGATTAACTCAACTCTAGGCCTTTATTTTCCATGATCTAATTACTAACGTGTCTCCCTTCTAAATGTTACAAATGTCACTGTACATATTTTTAGAGAATGAAGTGTTGGGTCAAGTTGACACAGTCAGGCTGATAAGTTTCTTAAGTGTCCGAATCTGGGATTGAAAGAGTAAAAGCAGCCACACGATCTATGAATGGGAAATTTCTTTGTAACAATAACAAAGATCCAGTGTTTTAATACAACTACGGGGAAAGTTGAAAAATCGACGTAAATGTGTTGTAGGTTTTCTAAACGTTTTTTTGTTTTACCGATTAAATAATGCCTTGATCGTACCGAAGTGCCGATCAAACGCGGGTCTCCGAACATTTCATGCAAGTGTGACTCGCTTGTGGAACTGTCTTGACGGCAATCCTAAGAATATAACAAAATGAAAGCAACTTTAAGGAGCATTTTTTTCAAAAGATTCCTAGAGATTAATTTAAGTCGCGAACATTTTAGTAATACTAGGACGTTTTAAAATACCCTTTTAGCTTAGTTTTTGCCAACTAGCTAATTTTAACTTCTTGTATAATCAATCATGAGTAGTGG